CAAAACATTTCAAAATCTCACTAGTCAAATTCTTATTCATACAGGAAAATGAAAGGATTCATATAACCAATCATCAAAGTGATATGATATTTAGAATTTTCCAACCTGGTGGTGTTTACACTTCATTTCGTAAATGAGACTTGAGTGCAACCCTTCTGTTAGTCCCCCATTAAGAACCTACATTTTGTTGTTTGTTTAGGTAGAGATATTTTGATTTAATTTTGTGAGGGTTCAGTTAAATTAGAATAATTTGCATACGTATTCTCTGTTCAGCTTTCTTCAATTCCCTCCCATATTACACTCACTTTCGTCAATTTTTAGTTGTGTTTTTTCCCCACATAACTTTTCTTGTATACAGTTGACCGATTGCTGGTTATATTGTCGTGCTTTGATTTATTATTGTTGTCTTGTTTATGACGTGAGTTCCCCCAAGTCCATTGACTTCAGTGACTGAAACCATTCGCATCTTAAATATATATTGCTTATTTTTAGAGTGCAAATGTTTTGGTCATTTCGAATAGACTAAATTGCCTAAATATATACCCACATATGCATATATATATATATATATATATATATATATATATATGACATAAATAATTAATGAGATGTAATAGATTAAATAGTTCTTAAACAATATCATAAGGGAAATTAATTTTTGCTCTAATCAACCATGAATCAGTTAATGACGCAAAGGAATTATATCACGCAAAGTTTTCTTTTTTCTTTCACATTTCGTTATCCATATTACTGTTGTTGTTGTTATTGTTGTACTTATACCTTAACTGCTTCGACTATTTTATCAAATGTAGTTCTGCTTTTTGATGAGTTGAAGATTCAATGAATTATTGTCTTGAAAAATTTCTTATTTTACTACTTAAATTTGTTCTAGATAATAGTAATTTTGCAATGTATGAAAGGAAATATTTGAATAGAAACATTTTCTTTTGAATAAGGTAAAGAAAGAGAAAATAACACTATAATGAATGAATTATTCAAACACCTAGTCTGTATAAACCGACCTTCTCTTGATTTCAAAGCCAACAATGCAAAGAAAATCATTCTTTATCCAACACTTCTTTTCTGTTTTTTTAATCAACGACGTTTCCTGTCAAGTTATGTATGGTTATTATTATTATTGCTCCCTTGGGTTCCTAGTGGAGCATAGGGCTTCAACTGCACGTATCCACTTGCTTCTGCTGTACTTTTCACCTCCATCCATGTTAGTCTATACTCTTTCAACTCTTCTTCACACGATCTCCTTCATGTCACCCTCGCACCGACGTCCCACTCGCCGCCTCCCTTTCGGGTTCCACTCGAGGGCTTGACGCGCGATGTCGCCCAGTGGCCTCCTCAGCCGTGAGTATCCAATCCATCTCCATCGCCTAGACTAATAGCTCACACGATTCCCCCCACATCCCATTCGCCGCTTCCCTTTCGGCCTGGTTCCACTCGAGCAATGGCCTGACGCCCGCGCCATGTCACCCAGCGGCCTCCTCACAGAGTGTCCATTCCATCTTCACTTTCTCCCGCATATTTGTTGGTTGGAGATTGGTTCTTGTTTTGTTTATTTCTTCCCATAGTTTCCTGTTGGTGATTCTTTCCGGCCCAGCCATCTGATCTTCAGTATAGAGCGAAGACAGTTAGCTGTTGATAAAGGTCTGCAACAGTCTGTTGGAAATATTCTTTGTGACCCACACGCCCGCCAAGTTTCTGATCCGTATAGAACAGCTGACTGACTTCATGTTTGTATTGAAAATCCTCCTGAATTTTGTTGTTGATGCTGGCTGAGTGACGAAGATTTCCAGATTGGTTTCAGGTTGATGAATGTGTTTCTCGCTAGCCTTCCCGATTGTTGCCCGATTTGACATCCTCGTCCGTTCCGACTGTATGTAGTTGAGACAATGCTCAATGCTAGATAAGTGAATGAAGTGACCTCTTTCAAATCCCTCCCGTTGATGGTAACTGGCGCTGGATGTTGCTGTTGTTGTTGTTGATGGTTGGTTATTTTCATTACCTCCGTCTTGTCTATGTTCACCTGGACTCCTGTCTTTGCTGCTTCTTCGACCAGTCTGTCGGTTTTCGCTTGTAAGTCTTCGATTTTGTGTGACATCAAACATAAATCATCCACGCGCAAAATCTAGGTCCTCTAGGTTCTTCATGTCGGTCCAGGATATTCCTGTCTTCTCCTTTCCCACAGTCTGACACATAATCCAGTCCACCACAATTAGGAATATCTGTATGGTTAACGAATATAATTTTCAGGTTTGGTCATGGACTGATATCAGTTAAGGAATCATTGGAAACCAGGGCGAACTGGATGGCTATATTACCATAGTTTGCGACTCTGTGGTCCTAGTGGACATCAAGTTGAGAAGCTAGCCAGCTGACTGCCCAGTCACTGAGACCGAACTCAACAGCCCAGGAATTTTCACTTTTTCATTTTGCGATTTTAAGCACCGCTGCCCACTAGTGACTGACTTCTGGAGAAGGTTTCCTGAAGTTCTGCTGAGAAGTCGTAACCAGTTAAGTCGACCAGGTGAGGTGTGAGGACAAATACTCGCAGGTGAGATCGTTTGATGGTCACTGTATATATCGTAGGTTGACAGAAATTAGAATTCATAGTCCGTTGGATTGCATTTCAGTAACTGAATGGTTAACGAGCTTATCTTGTAACCCTGAGACCCTGGGTTCGATTCCCGTTGGGTTCACGGGTGTGTAACCATGAAGAGTTCTGGGATGGAGCAAAACAACTATCAAATACAATGGTTTCATTTCTGTTCAAACTGTTGATCCAGAACTTGGTCATAGGACAAACCTACACATTGAGAAAATTATCTTAAGGATTCAATTAAGCCTCACACCTACTATTTTTAATTCCAAAGCAAAATATAGAGACAAACAGAAGGTATAGCAATGGGATCACCAGTATTCCCTATAGTAGCAGATATCTTTATGGACAGCTGGGAAATTATTGCTCGAAATACATTTAATTCTACTCCAAAAATATGGTGGAGATATGTGGATGACACTTTAGAATTAGCTATGTTAGATTGTAAAATAAAACGAATAGAAGGTAGCGTTTATAAAAACCAAACTCATTCTAATAGATATTTAAATTTTAATTCATCTCATCTGTTAACTGTTAAGGCATGATTAGTTAAGTGTCTAGCAAACCGAGCAATAGCACTAAGTAGAACAACAAAAGATCTAAATAATGAAATGAAACAGATAGAAGAAGCGTTGGTGAAACTAATAATGATGACAAAAATAAGAAAGAATATAAGGCATCCACAGTTATACCATGTGAGGAGGGGACGTCTGAGACCCTACGTAGGATTCTGAATAAAGCAGGAATTAGGGTGGCATTTAAACCAACAAACTCACTCAGAGACAAGCTCTATAGATTAAAGGATCTGGTTGACCCAATAACAAAATATCTTGCAATGACTGTGAGTTAAGTCAACTACATAGGTCAAACTAGTAGATCAGAAGTAGTGAGATTGTCAGAACATAAGAATTTAGCAAAGGTTAGAATGATTGTTCCCATGAAGATAAGTAATTTAGGGAAAAAACTCAGCAATTGTACTGCATGCATTAACACACACAATCACACAATAGGGTGGGAGAGGGTTAAAATTCGAAAACGTCACATGGGTAGTTGGAGAGAGAGAGAGAGGTTGATTACTTAATCTTTGTTCATCGAATCTACTCACAATACATGCACTAGAAATGACTCAACACAAATACCAGAGATATAGAAGATATTATTACCAATCAAATCAAAATAATATAAGAAATAATGTTAAAATTTGTTTTACTTCAGTTCGCGTTATAACACTCCAACATGTTATTTACTTTACTTTACTGAAATACACCATATTCTCCATCCTATTGACTAACAACACTCGTCTTATTTCTCATCATATTGTATTTTATTGATAACACTAATATTATTTTCAAATTTACCTTATCTTCCTTTCTGTTTCATCCATGTCTATTGAACTTCATATTGATTTTATTTATTGATTCATATGTCTAACCAGTTTCTTACTCATGTATATAAACGAAGTCAAGAAGTGGTGTGAAAGTACCTTGATATGATTATGAGCAGCAATAAATTGTTCTCAAATCATCATCAGTAAGTATTACTGTATAACACTGTGAGACTTTATCAAAATAAAATTTTCTCCATAATGTAATCATGTCCTGCTGTAACGGTAGAAGATGCAAGACTTGGTAGAGGAATGTTTATCTGGGATTTGATATTGCTATATAATAAAACTGTGTACACTTTATCTTTAAATAACCATTTGCACAGATCTGTTTTGTACTGTTTCTGTCCTTCGAATTGAAATTCTTTGTCTTCCTTTGACGTCTCTCACGTTTCTCCACAACGCTAAATCATTTGCTTTCTCTGACGTCAAATTTATCTCCCTTCTGTTTGATGTTCTTATATCGACGAACGTCTCTCTCTGCATACTACTGATACATCTTATCAGTAGCACACGGCACATTACGACGATTTTTTTAATATTTCTTTCACGTTCCCAGTGGAACATAGGGCTTCGAGCTGGAGGCTTGAAGTTTCTGTAGTAGTGTTTATTTTTACAGGATGGGGTTGCTAGCCTCATGCCCAACCCTCCCTCTTTACCAGTCTTATTGCTGGATAAGTGAGGTAAAAGAGTGCGTCGGCCGGTGGTCGAACCCCGGACCATGTGCATGGTCGGCGAGTATACTAACTACTGTGCCACCATTACCACAATGCCCAGGTTCTCCTATTCTTATATCAATAAAAGCGTGCCTACTTACTCACCATATGCTAAATACTGCATATTCTTTTCTCAAATTTCACTAGGCAGTATGTTATGTTTAAAGTTATTAATCTTGAAATTCACTTTGACCACTCACTTAAAACATACAACAGTTTTTATACCTGAGTTCTTATTTTTAATTATTTCTTTTACTATATATGCGTATATTTATTTCTTTTTTTAAAGACATGGTATATGACACAGACAAGAATGATCAATGATTGGTTGATTGAACGTAAAGGGAATGCATTAAGTCCATATCAATTCACTTGCCTTTCTACAATTATTAAAGTGAGTGATTTATACTACTACGACTACTACTATGACTTTTTCCATTCATATGTATTTTTAAAACAACAACAAAGATAATTTAATAAGTTAGTAGTTATTTCTTTGGATAATTCATTCAACTGATTACTTACTATTTAAGTAAATAACTGCCGAAAATTACTAGACAAACAATTCTGAACAACTGGTCAAGGTTAATTGTTTTTCTAACTTACTGAAATATACTTAAAGCTAAACTTTATGTGAAAATATATATATTTAACCCTGGGGCTATCTTTCATTCCAGTGGTTAGGACTCTCGCCGATCATGCACATGGTCCGAGGTTCGAGCCCACGCCGACGCACACCTGATATCTATGGTCGGCCTGCAAAATTTGGGCTACCAATATCCACGCTGAAAATTCCATACTTGTACCAAAAATACAGTGTGAAATCAAGCTGTAATAAAAAAAAAACACCTGTATTGCTTTCAACATGTGACAATTTTAAGTCAGGATAAAAGCAAGTTAAGTGTGTAGAACCAGTCAGTATGTTAGGCTTAATGAATCTTCAATGCAAATGAAGTGAAAAATGCTGAGCACTTGATGATATCCCAGTAGATTTTCTCCATTGATCCGAATTGGTAGTAATTTTTAGGAAAATTCACACATTATTATTAAAACGTGTTTTTCCAAACTAGTGAGTGACAGGTGATGCTATTACAAATACATAATGTTGATAGTTATGCGAAGAAGTATCACAGACTAATTATTTACTGCAATTTTAGGCCGACTAGTGGGCGTCTATCAACTTAGTGGAATTTGATTGACTGGTTATCTGACTAAGGTATAGGAAATCAATATTTATATGATTTAAATTCTGACTGATAGACTATGGAGTTAGTCTGTAGCTACACAAAACATGTTAGGAACAGAATGAATATATTTGTATTTAAATAAGGATTATTGGAAATATTCTAAGCTAGAAGAATGAGAAAGGGCGGTAAGAATTTTGAGTCATAATAGCTGTTAACTCATAACATTTCAAGGCGTTTAATTGGATAACTTTTACTTCCACTTATGGATGAAACTAAATAGTCAAATTACTCAGCATTAGGTTCTACAAGATTTCAAGCAAAGTTACACATATTAGATGGTTGGAGGCAATCGGCACAAAGCCTGGCAGCTAGGTTTCGTGCTAGTTGGCACTCACCAATCATCAAGGCGTATCTGTAATCTTGAAGGAACGCATGTCGTTCTGAGACTCGAACCCGCGTCACCCAGTACCGCCTGCAGTCAGAGACGTTACCACTGAGCTATTCAGGCTCGCGACTGACTAGTGTATCAAACCTGACTGATAGAAATCAGTCTGCACCAAAGAAAGGACTAGACACATCCCACTAGTTACTAGTGTCCAATCAAAGTTACACATAATTAATACACAAGCTACTAAACGTACTTTTGCATTGTAACACTGATTAATGAAAAAAAGAAATCTAAGAAAAATCAACAACACAAAAGGTTACATTATGATGTAATACTTGTGACTTTTTTTAAATTAAAATTTATTTTGAAACAAATCTAAAATTCTTGCTATATTGTCTAGCGGTGATTGAATTCCTAGTCGGAATCGCTTTATTTTTCCTTAGCATAAAAAATAATGATACATATTTTTACAAAAGTGTGACGTCAGAGAAGGCGAAAAATTTGGGTGACTTAAAATTTTAGTATTTCTAGTATACAAAGAAATGTAAACATATACATATTTGCTTCCTATTCTGTTTTTTTTTCAGGTTACTTTATTGCTATTGCATTGTTTTAAAGTTTTAAGTTTTAACACTTCACACTCTTAGTGTAGTCATAATACTAACAAAAGAATATTACTTTAAAGTGTATCTTCCAGTATTTATTTACGCCTTCTTTGAAGAAACACTCCTTTTCTTTTCCTGAAGAAAAGGTGAAATATAAAACAAAAAATATGATTGAATGTTATGTCCATTTGGCAAATTTTAAAAAAAAGTAACAAAACACAATTGGTTGAAGGATTTCATCATGAGCTGCTATCAGTTAGAGAACCACTGAAAAATCAAGGAGTACTGGACAGCCAGTTATTTCGTCCTAGTTTGGGACTCTTCATCAGTACACACTCACCATTGTTTGAACCCAGGACTTTCTGGTCACGAGGCGAGCTAGCTCGTAGACCATTGAGCCACTGTGACTTAATCCAATGGTGCATGAATTCCAACCTTTGCTAATTCACCATATAGCAAGACCACTAGCTGGTGTCCTCATACCCTACCTGCCAGGTCTTCAGTTTGAACCCCGGTAGCTGCGTACTGGTGAAGAGACCCATACTAGGATGACACAGCTTTCCAGTACTCCCGGTTGATTTTCCAATGATTCTTTAACCAATGGCAGCTCACGATCAAATCCTCCAACCAACCAAACAAAATCCCAACAAAACCAATACTTGAAAACAAAGAATAATTTCTAAATAACTAGCCATAAAATTATTTGCAACATTAAAAAAAGATTAATCCTGACTAAGGAAAAATTATCACATTGAAGTGATAAATAAGATTTTGTCACTTATCACGTCTACAGTTCAATTAAGATAAATAAGTGTAGTGTTAATACAACCAAAGGTGATAATTCAGTAATACTGTACACATGTTCATTTGTTTGAATGTTAAATAAATTATACCTGCCTGCTTTGCTTTTCAGGCAGATACTATCTTTTTCTGAAACACATGCATAAACTCCGATCACGTCCTGTTTCGCTCAGGTTTATACTTACGATTAAATGAACATAAAAAACTGTTGTTAGCGAAGCAGTTATGCCGTCAACTTGATCAGGATACTGAGTCACTACTTTAAGAAGAAACAGTGAAACGCGTATCTGAGATGGACAGAAAGACTCCTCCTGAGGAAGCCTGGCAGAATATACAGCTAGCTGTAGACATACCTGTAAAGGCTGTTAATAACATAAAACTAAAAGTTAGTAAAGGCCAATGAATTCCTACTACTTCATCTGGACTGATTAAGACAAGAAGACTGATTCCGGCGAGCTCCGATTATGATAAGGAGCGAAAGATACTCAAATGCAAACTAACAAGAAGTCTTCACAACGACCATGAACAGTGATGGCCAACAGAATCGAAAGAGGGTGGAAAAGGCATGAACGATACGTAACACCAGACAACTAACAAGGAAACAGGTGGCGAAAAGCAAATGACAAGTGAAACAATCTCCGAGAAAATGGCACTCAGGATAGACAACTAAAACTTTGGAAGAAACACTTTGAGGAGCAATTTATCTAGCCTACAGCCACGCTCAATCTACTGAACATCCAATACTTCCCTGAATGCGATATAAACACCGTTCCTCCATCCCCGGAGGTTACAAAATTATTGACTAATCTGAAACAGGACAAGGCAAACGGACCTGATGGAATGACTCCAGAGGTGTTCAAGGACGGTGGAGACAATTTACTATCTTCGCTAAACAAGGTGTTAGACAGTGTCCGGGGATCAGAGTTAGTCCCGTCGGGCTGATGTATGTCGTTGATTATCCCGATATATAAGAAACGAGACAAGTTTTGTTGTGATAATCACTGAAGGATCAGCTTTACCATTATGGTATCTAAAGTTATAGGCTGAATAATGATGCGTAGACCAAGTGGTGCTCGGGAGAAACAAAAACGGAGAAATCATGCAGCCTTTAGACTAGGAAGAGAGTATGCTGATCATATCTTCACCCTTCGACAGATTCTGGAACATACGCATACTTACCGGTGGGGTCCAATAATGGTCATATTTCTTGATGTGAAGGCGACATTCGACTCCGTCAGCCGAGAGGTACTGTGGCGATGTTTGACTGTAAAGAGTGTACCGAGAAAATACACTGCACTGATCAAGACACTCCACTCGAACTCATGCATCTAGATGAGAGACTACAGAGAGTCGTTGTGTGACGTGATGATAACCAGTGGTGTCCATTAGGGATGCCCACTGCCTCCATTTCTTCTTAATTTCATCATAGATGTGCACACTAATGGACTTAACCTTAACTGACTTCAGCGACTCAGGGATTGACCTGTTGCCAGCGAATTATCTCGTTGACTTAGAATATGCAGACGACATAGCTCTCCCTTCTAGGTGAAGCCGCTGACATCTTGAGCAGCAATCTTTGATTGTTCGGTATGTGATTCACTCATGTCAGATGTAAAATGATGCTACAGGAATGAACTTGAAGTAAAATTTTAGTTGAGAATATTCTGTTCCATGTTGTAAGAAAAAGACTGCGCCACAAAGGAAGGGTCTCTCCAACAGAAATGAAGCAGTTAACCAGTAAAATACTGATTCTGTATCAGTCAGTAGCTTATTATCTTTGTTTTATATTGTTTATTTAACAAATTATTTCGTCCGATAGACAGTTTTATTTACTCTGTTTTATAAGAACGAGTGTATTTTTGTTTTAGTTGGACTAATTTCTTGCATTCCTCCTCATACGCAGCCGAGATATTAGAGCGTCAATCTAAAACAAACTGAACTATTTATAGTTTTCCGGGTGAATTATTGAAGCGTATAACACAGCTTTTTTTTTCTCCACTTCTTTTCTAAATTTCTTCAAGATAGCTTAGCTTTAAACGATTAGTATTACTACATTATCTGTTAGGTGATGTCTAGCAGTCACATACACAATACATGCCTCATACTGTTTTGGACTGATCAATCGTATATTACCTATATTACAGTGAGTAGTGATGTTCCAAATGATAAATGAATCGGCACCCAGCATTTTAACTGCTTAAATGCTACTCATTAGACTCTAGAACCAACAGATACTCATCTTGTCTGTACAACAAATAAAAACAAGGAAATATAAGCTCTACCTTTTGTCTATATCACTGATCATAAGCTTTTCTCCTTGAAGGATAGAAGAGAAATCATTTTGTTGAATGTATTCAGAGATTCAAAGTGTCATTTCACTTTGAATTAAAGTAAGCATGAAGAAATGACTTTCTTTTAGTTTACATATAGGTACTATGGTTTCAGTTAAGGAGATGCTAAAATGAACAAGAAGACGATGGAGTAATCTGTCACCTTCGTAACACTTTTGAATTATTTTGAATTGAAAACATTTATTTCCCGATACGAATTTAAAACGAGCAATAAAGGTTAATATAGCAGGATTTAATGAATTCATCAAATTTGGGTAGAACTCGTCAGCTGAATGCTCTACATGCACGGATATATATGCTTTTGAAATTACATTGAGATATATAAGACTCATAAGTAAACAAACTACATTGAATTATTCATGAAGAAAGACAGGTGCGAATATTTTCCAGGTCATGTTCAAATAGATAAGGGGAGAGAGAGTATAAGACATCAAAATTGCATTACGCTTCAATTACATCACTTAGATAAACAATTAGTCACTAGAGAATATAACGAGAATTGCAAACAGACTAATATCAATAGTAATAGTTATAATAATAATAGTGTTGAAGATAATCCTACTGATAAACAATAGTTTCAAATGAATTAAGAATAATAATTACAATAAGTAAAACGTATTACCATGGTAGATTCAGAGTCACGACTATCTCCTTTTGTACACAGAGACTCGAATTGCACAAGCCTCTGCAATCGCAATCATCTTCTTGTTTCTTTGAAATAAGTTATCTTCCCTCGTCATCATGTGCGTCGGTGACACAGCGGCTAGGACACTGGCCGACCATGCGCATGATCCGGGGTTCGACCTCCTGCCGACGCACACCTGATATCAATGGTCGGCCTGTAAAATTTGGACTACCGATATCACATGCTGAAAATTTCATACTTGTACCAAAAATACAATATAGCATCAAACTATAATAAAAAAGTTTTTAAAAATATTGCAAAAACTAATCTGTGCTTTACAAGAAAATATTTTATTTATATTTTAGAAAATGTATTCAGATTTTGAACTGCAAGGTATCAGTCCTGATGCATTGGATACAATGGCGTATAAAACAATTATGCAGCGACTTCAGGTAGGTAATTGTGAATCTTCACTTGTTGTTTATTGTTGCTTTCTTCCATCTTCTAATTCAGTCTGCCCTTGTGATCACAACGTCTTTTATGTTAGCGGAACAACTACATATTACAATGACATATATGTGATAAGGGTTGTTTTTACTACCATCCACCATTATAGATTATTATTATATTGTTGTTTTCTTTAGTTCTTAGAGGAATATAGGGCTTCAGCTGCACATCTCCATTGCGTTCGGTTCTTTGACAACGTTTTCACCTGGCTCCACATGCTTTCATCTACCCTTCACATGATCTACTCTATTTCAGCCTCGCACTGACGACCAATTCACCGCTTCACATTCGGGTTCCACTTTGGCGATGGTCTGTCGTGTGATGCCACTTGACGGTTTGTTTTCTCAGAGTATGGACAATCCACCTCCATTTCTTCCTGAAGATTTGTTGCACAATCGGTTCCTGCTGGGTTGGTTCGCTCCCAGAGATATCTTTCGCTGATCCTTTCTGGCCGTTTGATCTTGAGTACTGAAGGAAGACAGCTGTTGATGAAGGTCTGTAGTTTGTTTGAGGTGCTCTTCCTGACGTGCCAAGTCTCTTATCCATAAAGTAGGACTGACTTCACATTGAAGCTGAAAATCAGGATTTTATTTTCATTTTCATGCTGAGTGCTGTTGACCTCCATACAGACTTAAGAGTAATGAAAGCTTGCCGTGCTTTTCCGATCCTCGCTTTGATATCCTCGTAGGTTCCGTTCGCCTGTAGTTGAAACCAGGTTTCCCAGCTAGGTGGGTTGTTAAAGGAGGTTGCTTCTTTCAGATTCCTCCCATTTATGCTGATTGTCAGTTGTTGTTTCCATTGCTATTGGCCAGGAATCTTCATCACCTCTGTTTTCTCCATGCTCACCTGAAGGCCTATCTTCTCTAGATGCTTCTTCTACCAACTTGTTTGTTTTCACTTGCATACCTTCCAGTTTGTGGGAAATCAGACAAATATCATCGGCGAAGTCCAGATCCTCCAAGTTTTTTGTGTGGGTCCACTTTATTCCCGTTTCTTTGCTGCTCGTTGTCATTTGCATTATAGATAATAATATTTAATGTTTTCCTATTAATTATTTGATCCACATTCAGAAATAATTATTATTCAGCAGAAAACCTCCATTCCACTGGTTTTTGCCGTCAATTCCAACTAGCTCCAAAGTTGCTCGTAAGCTTTTGTTTCCTGCTCGCACTAAAGCTTCCAGGTCACCTTTGGATGTCCTACTTACCGTTCCCCGTTTAGATTCTACTCGACGACTTGCATGGCGCATGAGGTTACTCCACGATCTCTTTAGCATATGCCTAATCCATCTCCATTTCTTTCTACATATCTGTTGGTTGAGTGATGAATTCTTGGTTGGTTCGTTGGTCCTTGACACTTATTCTTTCTGACGGGTCATTTGATCTTTAATATAGAACAAACATCCAATTATAACAGGAATGACGACACTTTCCCTTATCCACTAATTTATCATGTTTAAATAGAAAAAATTAAACTGTACTCGGATTACAACTATTAAATATAAAAATGTTGACTCATTAGGATGAAAAGAAAAGATAATATAAGTGGCGAAAATGTATTAAGTTTTGCTGATAATAATAACAACGATATATACTCTCTACAATGCTAAACTTAAAGCATTCGTATCCAAGTCGACTTTTGCATACCTCGTGAAAATACACACCAATGAGGCATAGATCTGAAAATCTAGAACGTAATATTATGTTTTTTGCATCTCACTATATTCAGTGAAATGCTTCCCAGGTGAATTTTGAATTAGTTGTCATATCTGAGCCCGTTGATTTAAGTGCAAAGTTTTCGTCGTCCTTCTAGGCAACATCTTCAGCACAGAGGGAAGGACAACGAAAGTGTTTCACAATTAAATCAACCAGATCAGAGAAGACAACTAATTCACTATCATCCATCTAAGCTACAGATTTTCTCTGTCTAGTGAATTTTATTGTTAGAAAGTAATTAGTAATAAATACAAGCTTTTAAGTGATAAATGCAAACATTTTCAGTATATTTCCACTTCGTTTTTATTCTGACTACTGAGTCCCTAAGTGAACGTGAATTCAGCATCCGACGCATCTGTAGTCCCGATATTCTAGAAACACAATTAGGTCTTTTGAGAGAAATCTTCATTCAAAATGGATACCCACCAAGATTCATTGATAAAATTATTAAACCAAAAATTTAGAGGAGTGAAACTTAACTTATGTCGAAAAAAAACCACATGAACTTGAATTTCAAGGGAAATTTAACAAACGATATTCTCAAGAGAAGGTTCGTATCATCTCTGAGAGGAACATTCTTCGCAGTAACGCTAGGAATACTGTTCTCCAGTCGTCCACTGATCTGCAGAAGCCTCAAAGACAAGATCCCGCATCTGACCACTTCTATGTGCATATATCAGTTCACCTGCTGCTGTGGAGCGAGGCATATAGGTCGTTCGACGCGCACCCTGTTCAAGAGGATTCAAGAACACTATCCAGCATGGTTTCAAAAAGGCAATAGTGGTGCAATAAGGAGTGTGATAATTAAACACCTGGTCAACACTGATCATTCCATTTCAACAAACGCCTCCTGCTTCAAAGTAATCTACAGAGTCAAGAATAACCTACAAAGGGCAATAGGGTTTCGTCTTCTTTGTATCGCTGATGCTCTGGCCATTCACATAGAGAAACCGGAGCTGTGCATACAAAAAAGAATTGAACATTTCTCAAAATCTCGCTTCAAACATGCAGCATTCATTCATTTAGGAAAAAAGAATATTTCTCATGATAATATTATCTTTGATAGTGACTATTCCCATATTCTATTGGTGATGTTGGTTGACAATTTGTATATATATATCTGCACGTTTACACAGAGTTTAGAAAACATACCCTTCTGAAGTGAATTTCATCATAGACTCTCAATATTCTATTCATTGTTTACACCATGACGTGGCGTCGTGGGATGAAGGATTTTTGTCCTAGATTAGCATCGGTTGGTGTGTCACGACTCCCTGGTTGGGGTCCGCGAGATAGCTCAAATCGATGGCTCGAAACGTTATCAGATAGGGCCAAGAATCGTTATCAATAGCGAACGTGCTGCAATTTCCTTCTTTCTTTCCTACTTGATGATAGTTAATGAATACTGTTTGAACTTGTTAAGCATGAGTGTGTTTCTTCCAGATGAAGTTCTTTATCTCTTCTCTACTTATATTTTTTTTCTTTACCTTCTTTTTTTCTTTTGATCTCTGTTGTTTTATTATTATTGTGTGTCACATCCTTCTTGGTCCCATATTGTACCAAGTTTTGTATGCGTTTAAATAAATAAATTCTCTATCTTTGTTTGTCTGGTCAAAACAAAAAACCCCATAGATCCTTAACGTCACTACGTGAGACACTGAGAATAAACAAAATATGTCTACGTTGAAGTCTCTTCCTTCTAGTCGTTTTCTTTGAATACATATTCTACAATACAAAATCAGAGATTTTTAATATCACTTCAAATTGTCATCGAATATAACTATAAAGCAATGACTTTATATAATTGTTTTTCAGTACCCAATAGTGCAACGGAGCAAAAGGACAATATTCATTTCCGATCATCACGCGAATGTCATATTAGGTCTCTTTCTTGATTTAATTTATAACTGTATGCATATAACATCTTCAGTATTATATATATATATATATATATATATATATATATATATAAATGGTACAATTCAATAGTATAATATGCGTTTTAATTATAAATCCAGTCTGTTGTACCTGGTATAAATTTCAAAACAATCCTGTCTTGTTGATATTCCGCTACCTTTAGCTAATAAGTAGCAATATTTTGTTTTAAGCCGAAATCTTATTTCTACATCTCGAAAAGTATTTCAATAATAATAATAAATAAAGAATTGTATCGAGAATAAAAAGAAACCCGTTGGGAGAAGATAAAGAAGACGGTTTTATCTATATTTATTAAAGGTATCAAGTATATTGAATGGAAAAGCCACTAATTTACTACAGTATCTAATATAAGTAATGACAGTTAGTCGCGTCGGTGCTATATTACTCGCCAACCATGCATGTGGTCCAGGGTTCGAATCCCAGCCGACGCACTCCTTTACCTCGCTTAGCCAGTTATAAGCTTGGTAAAGAGAGAAGATTGGGTATGAGGCCAGCAACCCCACCCTCATAATAAGAAACCCAATACTACCGAAACTTCAAAGCTCTAGCTTGGAGCCCTATGTTCCATTTGCAACATAAAGGAGTAGAATAAATATGACATTGAGGAGAATAACATTTATCTGACGGTTAATCATTTTAAAGAAGTACTAATAAATGGTACAAGGGTATGTAACAATTTTTGAAGTTGTGAGAATAGGTTTTCAACTGTGAATAGTCCAAAACATTTAAAATATAAATGTTTCATTATTGTTCACTTGAAAAAAGCCATAGCAAACATGATTAAATAAATGATCAAGTAGTGTGATGGAGAAGATTCGTAGCTCAGGTGGATGATTTTGATGTGGTTGTGTTCTCTGAGCCGGATAGTTTATTTGCGAAGCTTTCATCACCGCCTGACTAGGACACATCTTCAGCACATGCTTCAATTTGAAGTGCACTTTTAGATACCTGATACCAATACAAGTAGCCTTGAGGGTGTGAAAACACACAAAAACAACAGATCACGTTTACGGTCACCCACCGGGAGAGATGATTAATAAGCTCGTGGAGAAATCTAAAAGCGCACTTCAACGAATTGAAGTATGCGCTGAAAATGTTTCCTAGTCAGGTGGTGATGAAAGCTTCACAAATAAACTATCCAGCTCAGAGAACACAACCACATCCAAAAGATCAAATAGTACACCGGAAAAGTTGAACAACAAACACCTCTGACAATTAACAAGTCAAGAAATTATTGTCCAACCAAGAAATATGTAGAAGCAAATGGAGATGAATTGGGCATACATTAAAAAGACCATTAAGTAACACCAATCCCCAGGCTAACCCTCAAGTGGAACCTTGGTGGGAAAAGAAGAAAGAGTTAAGCATGAATCCGAGGGTGAAAGGGAGGAGGAGATTCTATGAGAAGGAAATGAAAGTTCATGAGTCATCGTAGATCTCCTGCGGAGATCCTTCACCCACATTGATAAGACCCAAAGGAATAATTATAATAGCTTTATTGTGAATTAATTTCACATAAGGTACAGAATCTTCAGAGGAAACTAGTAACTGGTGATAAATCGCATGTAACACTGCTGTCTGACCTGAAGTGAATACCAATCTCTTATGATGATATTTCGTCTTTTCCTCCTTCGAGATATGCATGACATTTGGCTGAAAGCCAATTATAAAAGTTGCAGGAGTATATTATTTTGGTCTAAAGATATAATAATAGCTCAAAAACTGAAGACTACAGCCAATCAGTTTTACTTCGCAGGCAGTGGGGCAGTTTGTACCAAAAAATCCCGGGTAAAGTTATGCCATGCACTAGGATACTTTACTATCCACGATTTTGCCTTTTCCCAAGTCTAATAAAAACTCACAAATTATCAGACTGTTGACATTTTAAGTACTCGCAAGAGTAAGAAACACAACTGGGGGTCATATTCCAGTAGATTAAAACCAACTGAACAAGAGAAATTATATGCAATCTAATGGAGTATATTCGTAGCCCTGTATCTAAACACACCGAGGTGCTAAGCGTGAATGAAACACATGTGTTAACAAAAACATGGAATAGACATCGCACGTTAGTCTTCTTCTACTGATCGGTTGACTAGAGTAAATTCGTTGAATAAATAATGGAAATCAATAAAGTTCACCTTTTGTAAATATGTAAAAGTATCCTGAAACTGTTATTGCTTTTTTCAAAAATAATAAATTACTAGACAGCCATTTCGTCCTACTTTTGGACTCGTCGACAGCATGCACCCTCTGGGGTTCGAATCCAGCACCATTCAGCTACAAAGCGACATTGTAGACCATTCAGCCACTGGGACCCAATTAAATAGCCCATAAATATTAACTTTTATCAAGTCGGAATTTTTAGTGCGATCACCAACCATTGTCATCGGCGAGTATTCATCTTCACTAGAGCTCCAGGAAACTTCGTCCTGTAGCATGTCACTAGAGAGCATCAGATTAATTCTCGAGAGTTTATTTGTAAAGATTTGATTTGTTTTCCGAGTTTGATTTTAGAAAATAATAAATTGGAAATATTGTCAAGTTATCTATTAAACTTCATTATAATATAAAACTAATTTATTTCAATAATATTTCTGTTGTAGATGGAAGAAACTGCTCAAGCTGTTAGACCTGACTTAGGAAGTAGTCCAACACGATCAATACTCGGTACAATAACAGGCAGTCTAAGTGGTATTCCTAAACCTGGATTCTTTAGTAAAATGTAAATGTTTTTTGATCAATATCTCATTGCATTTCTTTCTTGATTTTTGTAAAACTGACAACAGCTGATGCAAACAAGATAACATTTCTATGCATAGTATAAAAAGTTTTTATACAAATTATACAAAGTATATACGCCAAAAAACAAAAATTGCACAAAAGACAAATCAAAGTGGTTTTAGAATTACAACAGTTTAGTTATTGTGGTTGTTGTTGAAATTTTATCTGCTTCTGGGATCTGTACTTCACTCTCCCCCCCCACACACACACTGGTGCAGGATTCTAAAAGACAATAAATCAATTGACTACATTCCTCTTTACTACCTTTTAGGCGGAACAAAACAGATGTATATATATATATGCATGCATATATACCTATTCTTGCTCATCTCGAATGCTATTCTTTCTATACACAATGCTCAGATTTATCTGGAAAGTGCTTTAACAAAATTCTTAGTGTAAACAATAATAAACAGAACACCATCCACTATATATACACATATATTTCATCTTGTAAATTAATTCACTGAAATTTACTCAATAATACATATTTACACACATACATACAGAATCTTGTATAAAATTTATAAAAAAAGTTGAGATAGTAGCGTAAAGTTCAGTTTTTAAAAAAGCGCCAAATGCACACACACACACGCACAGACACACACTTAAAGGTGTGCTTCGTCACCTGGTATTCTTTTTGTTGCTTTCTGATTACTCATTCATCATCTATCTATGAAGTTATGAGAAGTGTTTTGTTGCCTAACAACCCCCCCTCGCCTTTCTTCTCTTTTTTTTTTCTTTTGTATAAGACCATCACAATTTCTTAAAATTTAAATCTCTGAACAGCGTAACTGCGCATGCATTTTAACATCTTTAGAGAGAATATACAAACTTTTATTGTTTGTTCTTTTGTGTGTATATCAACTCTACTACTGAATTCTGCTGATAGATTTGCCCTTAACTTAATATTTGGCATTGAATTTTTTCTTATGCTGGTCTCGAAAAACATTCTTCTGCTTGCTATTGTTATGTTCTTTGTTTCGCTTCACACACACACACACACACGTACGCACGTACATACATACCCACATATATACATGAAATCATTACACTAATTAGAGAATACAACTAGAATTATGACTACACTGGAAACTGACATTACTCTACCTAAAAAGCATCCTCACATTGTCAACTTCAGACATATATATATATATATATATATATATATATATATTGGGTTTATACTTTGAAACAGCAGTGTAATTTGATTTGAAAGTACAGCCTACCGAGGTAGTAGATATTCTTACTCTTCGTTATTCCCCTTATGATATATAGCATAATATCTATTAGCCATTAGTTTGTACAATGATTACTGGTTCATATTATTACTGTTTTACTTATATAGATCAAATAGAAAATCATTCCAACGATATATATATATATATAGTGATAATATAATCAATCGATTGATTGTTGTATAGTAACACAATAATCATAATTCTAAAATTTATGGTTATAATGATTATGATTATTATTATTACTATTGTTATCATTGTTCTTTTATTAAAACTCTTACTAAAACTTTCATTACCATGATTATTATTGCTATAAATAGTAGTAGTAGTACTAACTACTCCTCCTGGAGTTATCGATAAATTCCTACTCTTATTATTATTATTATTACAATCTGGGAACTATTTTATTTTATTTTTTAAAGGGATGAAGAGGAAGCGATCGAGAGAGAGAGAGAGTGAGCTGGAGAGATAGAGAACTACACTAATGAGATATACATACATATAATATACATATATATTTTTTGATTGTTGTTTTTTTGCTCTACTATGTTCCTGCTTAACATCATGGTATATGATGGAATTTAACAGGGTAGAACTGAATGTTATATATATATATATATACTACGTTGAGAAGACAGACAATTTAGCCAGGAAAAGCAATACTGAATGGATACTGGAATATGTATAGTGTAATTAGTTTCTGTATTTCAGACTAAATATTATAATTAAGCCTCTCACATATCATATATGAGGAGTCCAACAAACGTTTATGTTAAAGCTGATTTTTTTTTTCAATTGCCTAATTAAAATCGTTGTTTGTCTAGTCCATCGTTTTGGTACAGACTGAATTCAATGCATTACACAATCATCCTACAGAAGATCAATCGCGAACCTGCTTTGCTTAGTAGTAATCTCTCTGACTTCAGCACTGAGTGACTTTGTAACAACAGAAGACAAGGGCCAGGAAACAGATCGTTTATTAAAGAAATCAACAAATATTTATAGATTTTCATGTACTTATTATACATTATTGTTAGCAGAAAAACACAGTCTTCTGATTGGTTGTTTCTCTTTGTGACTGTTTCTTGAATGTCAGATCATCTATATGCTAACTGTATCCGCCTACGCAAAGTCTTTGTTCCTATTTTTCTCACGACCAATATTTGGGACATAAACCGTGACGTAAATTAATGTCTACCAATTTGGCTAGCAGCCAGCTCTCATTGCAACTTTGGTTCGAATCTTAGAAGAGACATGAGTTCCTGCAAGATTTGCACACACACGCTTTGCTTACTGTTGTTTGCCAAGATGCAAGAAATCTAATTCGATAGCTTCTTGCCGACTGCTTTCAACAATCTAACAAGAAGATGTTTGATTATACACAGAATGAAGTGGGATGCAAGTACACTTATTTACCGATTAAATAAACGCTAATGAGATACTAGCAAATAAGAAACATTTCTGATCGGTGGCACAGTGGTTAGGACCCTCGCCGACCATACACATGGTTCCGGGGTTTGATCCCCTACCGACGTATACCTGATATCTATGGTCGGCCTGAAACATTTGAGCTACTGATATCACATGCTGAAAATTCCATAGCTGTACCAAAAAATACGGTGTGGAATCAAGCTGAAATAAAAAATAAATATTAGCAGGCAACCATGTCATTTTATATGTCTGAATAACAGTTACTGCCACAGACTAGCAACTTTTGGATATTTAAACTGGTGAATCTACTAATATGCTTTAATATTACTCGATTAAATTAGGTGATGGTCTTGTTATATCACTAATAGGCAAAAGCTTCAAGTCATTCATTGTGTGAGCCGTTTTGGTTCGATCCATCATAAGGTTCTAATTTTTTCACTGATGATGGGAAAATTTTTTTCTTTTTTATTTTACAGGATTATCAAGTGATATTAGATAATGCCGAAGTTTAATTTGCATATTTATTGCTGAAGAAATTTGAAAGAATTTTGTCGCAAAAGGACGGACATTAAATGAAGCAGAATATACAAAAAAAAACAAGTTTCATGGATAATTCTCCAGGCTAAGAAAAGACTTATGAAACTTGCTGAATAAAAGTTAACATGAAATTAGTTAAAATGGCAAGTAATGAATCCCCTCAGTTTTGATTACGCATTGATATCAACTAGAGAACCATTTAGACAAAAAACAACAAAATGAGCAGAGAAATATGTTTCACTGGAAACGTAAAGGAATAAAAAAAGTAGTAAAAGAACTGAGTGCAATTAAGAGGTTAAAAGTCACCAAAACAATTAACAAATACATGTTAGTAACAAGATAGCTAAGTTTTGAAGAAGGGGGGAAAATTAGTCACTTACGGAATTCAAGATAAGTTCATTCGTAGGGCTTGGCGACAAGTTATTACATAATCAGAAAATTTGTAAAATAGCAATGATGACTAAGAAGAATAGGATGACTCAGAAGCATCACATAAAATACAAACAAGTTAACAGAATTAGCTAGAATTGTAAAAATTAACAAAATCAAAAGATAGTTATAAGATGAGGAGAAAAATGAGACACTGAACAAAGAACTCATTAATATTCGTGATCTACTGAGTAGAAAGGGATATCCGACTAAATTCGTGAAGAAACACATTAACTGAGAAAGTAAAACGTCGAAGGTACCGACTGTTTCCGATAAGTCATTGTTCTTGACACTACAATTCATCGGGGATTTCAATAGCATGATCTTATCACAACGTCTGAGAAGGGGCTCCAAAAGGGTCTTCAACTCAGCTAAGCTATGCTGTATATTCATCACAAGTTGACCAATACTTAGTTGAAGAGATAAGAACAAGCTGCCTTATTTCGCCTCTTCCATGTGTATTTACCCGTTTAACTGCCCATGAAGAACTGCTTACATTGGGTATACGATTAGGCAAATTCATCGTCAAATTTCTGAACACCTATCATTTTGGTTAGGCAAAGGTCCAGATAAAGCTATACACAGCTCATCTCTTCGATACTGGACATCATGTCTACTCTAACAATGCTTTTAAATTTATTTGTTGCATATCACTCAACCTCTCGCGTGGTCCACGAGTACGACGTTTACATACAGCAGAGGTAATCGTGTGTTTAAAAGAAATTTGTACAGCCTCTTTCTTTGCCATGGCCAACTACATTATATGTATTAAGTTTTTCAAAATGATTTTTCTCCCTCCCTTTGTAACTATCTTTTGACTTTGTTAACTTTCACAATTCTGGCTAATTCTGTTTGCTTGTCTGTATTTCACATAATTCTTCTGAGTAATCATTGCTGTTTTTTAAACTTTCCAATTATGTAATAGCTTGTCGCCAACCCCTACGAATGAACTTATCTTGAATTCCGTAAGTGACTAATTTTCACCCCTCCTTCAAAACCTAATTATCTTGTTACTAACATCTATTTGTTAATTGTTTTGATGACTTGCAACCTCTTGATTTCACTCCCCCACCCTCCTAAACCTTAAACTGAATAACTAAAATAACCACTTGAATGGTACAAAAAAAATTTTTGATGTAAAAAAACTATATATTAGTGTACAGCTGGCCAGGTGATGATGAGAAACTAATTGAAAAGGAATATATTTCTTCGCTGAATCTGTTCTGTTTTTTCTAAATGCGTAAATTGCAATTTCGAAATTAGCGAACCATTGGAAACATGGGAGTACTGGACAGCTGTTTCGTCCTAGT